ATGGTCGGAGTTTAAACTGTATCACTTCATCTGAAAAATACGATCGCGAGGAGGAGGGTAAAGGAAGGAAGAGGAGGAGGAGGAGAAAAGGAGGAGGAGAAGGAGGAGAAAATGAGGAGGAGGAGGATAAGGAGGAGGAGGAGGAAGAGGATTAGTAGTAATAGCAGTAATAGTAGTAGCAGCAGTAGCTAATGGGAATGAAGAAGAAGAAGAAGACGAGGAAAGAAGAAGACGGGGGAAGAAGAAAGAAGAAGAAGAAATAATAACATGAAGAAAAAAGAAAAGAAAAAAGAAAGAAAAACAAGAAGAGGAAGAAGAGTAAGACGAAACGCCAGAAGGAGTAGAAGAGGGGAGGAGGGGTGAGGAGGAAGGGAGGGGGGAGGGGGAGGAGGAGGAGGAGGAGGGGGGGAGTGGGGTTAAGGCAGCATTACAGCATCCAGGTAGTGTAGATTTGACAGGAAAAGGTTCAGTAGATAGGTAGATAGGAGGTGCCGCCCGGGTCGCTGGTAGATTAATTAGGTAGGGCTAAACACCTAGACGGGGTTGTACTTACAAGCAGGTAAGTGATAGGATGGAGGGGGGGGTGGGGGAGGGTAGGATGGGAGGGAGGGGAGGGTAGGAGGGAGGGAGGGAAGGAGGAGGATGGAGGGAGTGTGTGCGTGTGTGTGTTGGGTGTATGCGCCTTGTGTGTGCTATTCGTGTGTATTTTTTGGGGGGGGAATATGTCCGTGTGCCCGAGTGTGCGTGTAGATGTATATATATGAATAAATGTCGATTCAAAATTTCCACACACCCCCCTCTACCCCCTTTACTACTGGACGTCTCCCCTCCCCCCATCCCCAGAATCGTCGGCCAGGTGTATTAACGCAAAAATCTGGCCCCAAAATCTGTAACAAAGCGGCTTCTCTCACAAGCTCTGTTGGAAGGTGAGTCGGGGAATCTGATACACAGGATGTCACAGATTAGTGACGTAAGGGTGGTGTTCTGGGGGCTTCCCCACCCCTCCCTTCCCTTCCTCCATCCCTTCCCTTCCTCCCTCCCTTCCCTTCCTCCCTCCCTTCCCTTCCTCCCTCCTCTCTGTGCTCTCCTCCGCCCTCCTTCCCTCCTTCCCTCTATCCTATCTACGCTCTCCTCCGCCTTCCCTCCCTCCCTCTCTCCTTCCTTCCCTTCCTCCCTCCCTTCTCTATTCCTTCTCTATACTCTTCTCCCCTTCCCTTCATGTTGGTTTACCTTGTGATTATCTTTCCCTATGTGGGTTGGGTAAAAATAGGTGAGCAAGTGCCATGTCATCTATACAGCTTTTCATCTATGTTGAATTGATATGTTTTATTCTGTCTCCGTCTGTCCTCCCTGTCTGCTCTCTCTCTCTCTCTATCTATCTTTCTATCTATTTCTCTCTCTCTCTCTCTCTCTCTCTCTCTCTCTCTCTCTCTCTCTCTCTCTCTCTCTCTCTCTCTCTCTCTCTCTCTCTCTCTCTCTCCCTTTCTTTACTGATTTTTGCTCCTCTCCTGTTTTCCTTTCTTCGTCTTCATCTTCCTAATTACAGTCCCCTTTCTCCTCCTTCCTCTTTCTCGTTATCTGCTGCCTTCTTTTCATCCGTTCTCCTTCTCCGCCTCTTTCTCTATCTCTCCCTCTTCTGCTTCACCGGTTAATTAGCACAGATTATGGGCTACGAGAGGGGGAGGGGGGAGGGGTGTTGGGTGAGGCTGGGAAGAGGAGGAGGGCGACGAAAGGAGGAAGAGGGGGAAGTTAAGAGAAGGGGTGAGGGGTATAAGGAGAAAGGGGAAAGATAAAGGGGAAGGGAAAGGAAGGGGAAAGGGAAAAAAAGGGAAAGGGGAAGGGGTGGTGGTACTGGTAGGGGTGTAGCCTCGGTGGTATCCCTGTATATGGGTCAGTTAAATTTCGTTGTTTTTGTTTACAGATTTGTGAGGTAGTTTTGGTGTTCGTGTTAATACTAGAAAGCGAAGGAAAATGTACAGTCACACAATACATATAAAACACATTTACATACAGATAGGAAAAGATATAATGAAAAATGATATAATAATAACAACAACAATAATACTAGTAGTAATAAAATATTGATAATAATTATAATATTGATAATAATAATAATATTATTATTATCATTAATAATAACAACAACAATACTAATATAATAAAAATAACACCACCACCAACAACAATAACAATAGCACATAAACACAAACACTACCAAAAACCAATTATAAAAACACAAAAAAAAGAAAAAAAGGAAAAAAAAACACCAGCATGGCCAAAAAAAACACACCACCACCGATACCCAAAAAAAATCACGGATTTGAACTTACGCCACTCACCATAGTCCCCGTAGTCTCCGTTCGGCATGTATCCGTTGGTCATGTTGTACATATCACGGGTCACTTGTTGCACGGGGGGCCGGGTGGGGTCCGTTGGGAGGAGGCCGGAAGCAAGGGGGTACTTGTCCTTCTTCATTAAGGTCTTTGTCTTCCGCCGAGGTCTGTGCGATGAAGGGGGGAGGGGGGAGAGAAAAGAAAAAGGGGGTTTTGGTTAGAGTTTGCTGGTGGAGAATGTTTGGGTTTTAAATTATTTTTATTTTTATTTTTATTTTTATTTTTTATTTATTTTATTTTTTTTTTGGGTGGGGTGGGGGGAGAGGGAGAGGGTGTTTGTTTGTTTGTTTTGTGGGAGGAGGGAGGGGGGAGGGAGGGATGGGGAGAGGAGAGGAGAGGGAGGGGGAGGGATGGGGAGAGGAGAGGAGAGGGAGGGGGAGGGATGGGGAGAGGAGAGGAGAGGGAGGGGGAGGGGTGGGTGGAATGCTGGGGGTGGTTAGAGTAAATTGTGCTTGTAATATATGGGGAGGGGGAGGGGGGTGGAGATCGAGATCGAGAGAGGGAGAGGGAGAAGGAAAAGGGGAGGAAGAGGGAGTGGATGAGGGGAGAGGGGGGGAGAGGATAAGGAATGGGCATGGATTTAATGGGTTCCTCTCTCTATCTCTCTGATACACTTCAAGTTTAAAATATGCACGTTTCCTATAATATATATATATATATATATATATATATATATATATATATATATATATATATATATATATATATATATATATTTATATATATATATATATATATATATATATATATATATATATATATATATATATATATATATATTGACAGGTGTCCATGAATATCCATGGCTACAGATGTATTATTATAATTTCCTTTTTTTTAGAATAAAAAAAGACAGACAGAAAGAAGCAGGCAAAGTAAGAGTTGGAAATAATGAACGCTGATAAGTGTTACTAATAATAATAATAATAATAGCAATAATAATAATAATAATAATAATAATGATAATGATAATGATAATAATAATAATAATAATAATAACAAGAACAAGAACATCATTATTAATCGATGTAACAAAATATCGCTGGTAACAACAATTGTGAAAAATATGATAATGATAATAATATTCTCAATAAGAAAGAATGACAAAAACAATAAATCGCAAAAGGAGATGACGAATTAAAAAAAAAAAATAAAAAAAAAATAGATAGATAGATAGGAAAATCACGATAAAAAAGACATAATAATAACGACCCCTGATTTATTTCGATACTTTATCGTTATTATAGATATTTATTCCTTTATTTATGCTTGGATCGCGACCGCCAGCGCTGACGGACGGTTGCGTAGCGGTCGCCTGCGCGCACTCGGATGGACGGCCGCGTTGACAGTGACAAATGACTTTCGAGAATGTCTGGGTGTTTTTTAAGGGTTCCAATAGGGTTCAACTTTCGTCCCCTCCCCCCCCACCCCCCTTTCCTCTCCCCACCCCCCACACTCCTTTCCTCTCCCCCCACGCTCTTTTCCTCTCCCCGCCCTCCATTTCTCTTCCTTTCCCACCACCTCTCTTTCCTCACTATCTGTGTACCCATCTACTCTATATTTTCTCTTTCTCTCTTTCTTCCTATCTATACTAATCACAATAATAATGATAAAAAAAATCTTATAGTATCATCGTGAGTAATTATAAATCGTTACTCCTTAATTTAAGAAAATAATAATAATAATCATAATTAAAAGATGATAAATAAGTGAATAAAAAAGGGGGAAAAGATTAATTCAGCAATTATGTTAATAGCGATAAAGACCGGTTTTTTTTTTCCTCGTTTGCCGGAAGTGACGATAGGTGTGTGTGTGGGGGGGGGGTGGCATGAGATGTCACTTTTGGTGTTTCAGTTTTCCGAATTAAATTTTTATTTGTTTATCTATTTATTATTATTTATTTACATATTTTATTTAAAATCGATATTTTCCGTCTCATTTAATTTTCGCGGATTTTTTTTTTGTATGTAGATTTTTTTCGGGGAACTTATTTTTTTATTATTTGAGAATTCAAAAATCTATATTTCTTGGTTCGCCTTCGGCTTCATTATGTCTTCAATGGGAAGGAAAAGTGCGTAGTAAAAGTTGATAAAAGAAGAGAATAAAAAAAATAATAAAATAAAAATAACGCAAAGTATTAAAAGGTCAAAATTTCGATTTTTAAACTTTTTTTTCTTTTTTTCTTTTTTTACTTCAGTCTTTCTTCGCCTTCTCCCTTTCTTTCTTTCCTATTTTTTTTCCTTTCTTTCGTTGCCAAGTTTCTAATTTTGAATAAAAAAAAAATATATATCTCCAGAGACTAAACTTGCAATCTCATGACATTAGAAGGAACAAAGACTTTTGCCACTAAATACAACGATATAATGATGATGATGAAGCATATACTGTACTTCCCCTCCCCCCTCCCCCCTCCCCCCCTTCCCCTTCCCTATCCACCACACCCACCCACCTTCCTTCCTCTCTGTCTATCTTTCTTTATTGCATATTAAATTATTCCTTTAGGTTCTTGTGACCTCCCCCCTTCCCTCCCTCCCTCATTATCATCTGCCTTTCTCTTATTTTCGGTGTCTGTCTTTCTCTCTCTCTCTCTCTCTCTCTCTCTCTCTC